TTTTTTTTAATACATAGGAGAATTATTGGCTTAAAATCCTTTTTTTTTAATTTTTAACAGTTAGTAACATAAATGTTAGACCGTTATGCTTGTATTAGTTGAATTAAAAAATTTTTTTTTGTCATAAATAATTCAAAGTCATGTGACACTAATTTATCATTGGTCAAAATCATGCATAAATTATAATAACAATTACGATCTAAATCAATTTTTTTTTAAAAAATTAATTTTATAAACTTTTTAATTCTCAAAAAAAATGTCAACAAAAGAAAGAATCGAAAAAGAATTAGATGATGCAAAGGCAAGGTTGGACAAGGCAACGAAGAGGTTGGATGAATTTATGAAGGAGGAGAATGTGATGAAGTTTAAAGAATTGTGGGGAATAGAGGAGTTGAAGAAGGAAAAGGAGGAGTTAAAGAAGAACGTGGACAACTGGATGAAGCAGGTGGTGAAGTTGCAGGATGTGTCACTAAAATTCGGAGGAGGGGAAGGTAATGAACAAAATGTGTAAAAAAAAAAAAATTATTTTTAGTTCATTCTATTTTGTTTATTTATTTTTATTGTTTACAATTTTAAATTTTCTCATACTATAAATATCCTCTTTTATTCCCACTTAGGACATAAACGTAAATTTGAAGGTGAAGAAGGTAGGTGATATTATTAATGACAATATCCTTGGTTGGTTTTTCATGGATACTTGATTTTTGACATTTTAATCCATTTTTTACAAAGAAATTTTATCAAAAAAGGCACATCAACTAGAAGGTATTATTGTATTTTGTATTTTTTTTTTTTATTATTGGTCTGGACATTGATTGAGAAGTGAAAATTGCATGCTAACCTTACCTAATCTACTTTTTCCACAGAAAAAAAATGGGGTTGTATACCAAAGACACAGAAGGCTTATTTATGTACATTATTTAATTTGTTAATGTTCTTCAATAACTCAATTTAAAACTAATTCTTTGGTTATTATTACAGATGGAAATATTACCATTTTTGTAGGAGATGCACTACCTTTTAATGTTAGTGATTTTAGAACATTAGTAACAGAAGGTTATACTTTCATTGACAAATCTCACTTTATTGAAGAGTTTATTGTAAAAAGTCCAAGATATGTTGATCTTTTACGACCAAGGAGATTTGGAAAGTCAATTAATCTCTCAATGTTGAAAGAATTTTTTGATATTCCTATTTACCCTGATAATATAGAATTTCGACAAGAACTATTCAAAGGATTAAATATTACAAAAAGAACTGACCTGATGGAAAAACATTTCTGTAAACATCCAGTGATTTATTTCAGTTTTCAGGTATGTGGAAGCATACATAATATGTTTGTCTTAAAAAATTTTTTTTTGCTGATTTACCCTTCTTAATAATTGTTCTAGGGGTTTGATAATTGTAATACTCTTGAAAATATGAAGGAGAAGTTATATAGAAGTTTTGCAGAATTATACAAACAATATTTTTATCTTTATGATAAACTTTATCTTGGTAAGAAAAAATTTACAAAGGTTGTAACATGTGACACATCTCTGCAATTATCTGAACATCTTGTAAGTCTTTCTCGGTATCTGGCAGAATTTCATAAAAGCAAGTGTGTTATTCTGATTGATGAGTGTGATCATCCTTTTGAAATTGCATTCCATGAAAAATACTTTGATGATGCTAGAAATCTGCTTATTTCAATTCTTTCACCCCTTCTTAAGGTAATTATTTCTAAAATATTATTTTTAATTAACATGTATTCAGAATGGACACCAAAATAACAGATCTTTGATATAGGGTAATGATACCAATCTGTATAAGGCTTTGATTGTAGGAGTGTCATATGTGGCTAAAGCAGATTTATTTTCTGGGTTAAACAACTTAACTGTATGTCCCATGTATACTGAATTATATGTGGATAAATTTGGATTCACTGAAGATGAAATTTCTGCCATTATCAACCATCATAATGTTTCAAATACCTCCTTAGAGTCATCTGAATTAGATAATGTCAAGAATTATTATAATGGTTATATATGTGGAAAAAAGACTAAAATTTACAATCCTATGTCTATAATATCTTATATGTTCAACAAAGAACTAAAATCATACTGGGTTATGACAGGTAAACTATAAAATTTCACTGCTACATTCTTTTTTTTTCTTTTTGTCAACATTGTTACTAATCCAGACTTTGTGATGTATTAGGGGGCTTGAGCAAATCCATTAAAATGCTAATTTTGCATTCAAACCAATTCATATCCCTTGCAAGTGAATTTATGTCTGATGAAAAAATTAATGCTCCTTCTATCATAAGATTTCATTTAGATTATGAAACATTAAGGAGTTGCAGGTCAACTGATGATTTACTTGTTTTGTTATACTTTGGTGGATATCTCACAATGGATACCATTGACAATAAATTATTTGTACCAAATAAAGAAACTCATGAAGTGTGGAAATCCTGGTTGAACATAGCTCCAAATGAGAGGTACAATCCAATATTTGAACCATTGTCAGAGTACAATTTTGAGAAATTTGTGTTTGATCTTAAGAAGATGTTTGATTCAGCTTCTGTTTCGTATATGGATATTACAGCAGAAAAATGGTATCATTGCCTTATGATTGGTCAACTTGATTTAATAAGAGCAAAAGGGTATAAACTAGAATCAAACTTGGAAGCAGGTCTTGGGCGTCCTGATATTGTTATACAGCCAACATTAAAAAATAATACAAGAGCATTTATCTTTGAATTTAAGTCAATAAAATTAAATGATAGAAGAATAAAAAAGAACAAAAAAAATGCTCTAGAAAATGAGGCTAAGGAAGGAATTGAACAGATAAATAGAAAGCAATATGTAAAAAGTGTTATTAGAAATGAATTGGTCACAGAGATTGCCAAATGTGCAATCTGTTTCTGTAGCAAGGACTTTGTTCTTCTTGTTGAAATCATTAAAAAGAATTCAGAGAATGAATGGAAACTGGGGGAAGGATACCCCAAATTCATAGGAAGTCTTGATCTTCACCCAGAAGGTGAAGAAATGGAAGAATAAACATGATATATACTGTTGGTTAGTTGTGAATGCTTTTCTAATATATATGTATATACATAATAGTTTCCTTGCATGCTTTGATAATATATAATGTTAATATCAAATATAGATGCCAACAATAGTTATACTGCACATTAATACTAATCTTATAGTCTTTTAATAATTAACAAGATAAAATATGTTAGAATAAAATTATGCATTTTTACCATTTTATCATAATTTGCATTAATGGGTTTCTAATTAGTTTATATTAAAACTGTCCTTCCTAGAACTTTTAACTCTGCCAATTTTTATAACTAATTTTTCTTAATAAATAAATACATTAAGAAAAACCTATAAAGTGAACATAAAATTATATATAGGGATAAGTGTATATGAAAAGTAATAATAAGTATAATGGTTCTAATGAATATCAAAAAGCGATTGAGTTTTTAGAAAAAGGTTGTGATTGTGGTTGTTTTTCAAGAATTCCTAAGGAAGAATTTGCAGAATTAAGAGAATCCTTCCAAGCCCTTTGTAAGGAAACCCTTTTTCCTTACGTCAAAATACTATATAATTGTTTTAATTATTAAAAAAATACAAGTTATATATACAAGTTGTCTTTATTAATTACGGAAAGCTTATCTTTTATACAAAAATGCATAATATATTATTACAATTAAATAAATAAAAATAATATCTTAGAACTTCCCGGAAAGCCGCAGCACTTAATTTGTGACTCATATACATAAGAAACAAGAACTGCCCCAAGACCAAAACGTTTACTAAGAATCGACACATAAAAAACAATTACATTCCAAATAGCGTTTGTTGTGTTGTGAACAATTATTTGTTTGAGTGGAGGAATAAGAACAGGCATGAATTTGATAATGTAAAAATAAATGTTGGTTTGATTCATGTTGTCAACAATCACTTCACTAACAGTTGTTTCATTAACAAATGGTTTGAATCTAAGAAGTTGGAAGCAACCATTTGAAATGGTCTAATAAATTAAATTGTACAATTACCTGGATCATCATCAACTGTATTTTTGTTATTTTTGATAAACTCATTTTCGTTTAATCTTTTCATCATACTTTTTTTTAGTGCGTTTTGATTTTGACTTGAAGGTAGTCCAAGATATCAAACATTTAGATTGGCATCTTTGTAGACAATGATTGTAATAACCATGTCCACATGTGAGTATATACACTACAATTATTCAAATTAGCATAGTTAGCGTAATCACAATATACGTAATTTCAAAAAATGTTTGTGGATGGTTTCCTAGAAGTAAGAAAGCCTCTTGGAAGGTAACCATGGGTTATTTTGTAAACTAAAGAAGGCAATTAACACCATTAGATGAAGTTTTGGTAATCAAAGGATACTGATTTTGTGCTTGATATAGTGGTAGTATCAGATTGTCTCTGGACATGAATGCAACTTGCTTCTTTTACAATCTACTGTTCTTGATGTTGTGGTTGCTCCAAGTCTTGTATCTACCGAACCTAAACAGAATGCAAGGTTGAATTTAAAAGAGTTGATTTTTGTATTATTCATTTTGTCGACACCCATTTTGTTGAAAGTTTGTTTCGTCAAATATTCATTTTGTCGAAAACTATTTCATTACAAAAAAAAAACATCATTAACAAATTCCTCCTCACACTTGCCACAAACTCTGCTTTCCTCACCTAATTTCTTAACTAACTTCCCATACTCCTCACATCTAACTCATTTGGTCTCTGGCTCAAGGATGAAATAATTTTTGATGAAATGAACTTTCAACACAAACTTTTGACAAAGTAAACGCAACCTGTATGTTGAGTTTGATTGCTTGGCGAACTACTAATAGATAATATGAGAGAGGATATAATTAGTGATGGGCATAAAAATTATTTTGAAAAATGACCAAGTTATTAAGTACTTAATAACTCTATTATTAAATGTTAAAAACACAAACATGCAGATCTCTTATTGGTAACTGTTTAATCAAACATTAATTTGATAAACAAGTTAATAATTAATTTAGTACTGTGCATAAAATTCAGTGTGCAGAGTGTGCATGCTAACCA